TTATTTATTTACCCACTTACGGTTTATTTATTTTCATTGTAATAGCATTGTTAAGCGTATCCAAGGAATATAAGCTAATAAACGTTAGTTTTACTGCCTAATCAAAGATAAACCTTGATGATAATTATTATCAACGTTAGTCATGGGAATCTTCAAGGTTTCAGCGAATATTTTGTACGTACTATGCATCATTGCTCATGGGATCATCGTATGACGTCTGCTACTAATGGAAATTATATCTTCCTTCGGCATTTATATCAAAAAAACACGATGGCAATATATTTGCCAAATTCCTATGCATTCCGAAACTATTAATTATTTCCTTCGCATCGAATAATTACGTGAGTAAGCCGAAAATATAATAATCAAATTAACTAGTTTCGAAAATTTGAAACTGTATAAATTAATTATAGTTTTAGTAGGGTGTTCTGCCTATAATTTATTGTATCTATGGTTCTACCTGATGTTCGCAGGTTTTTATTCCTCCTAATTTACAGGTCGCCTGATGGTAGTCTACGTACACCTGCAACATCAGAGGCATTACGAGTGCGCTGCCGACACTGGCCGACGTTTGATCACTATCTCGCCTGGTGGTAAGCGATGATGATCACGTCGTCCCTTAAGCAACCTATTCACTCGGGCCTTGAATACACCCAGGTTATTCCTTTCAGAAACTAATCTGGCAAAGAATTCCACTCTTTAGCAGTACGCACAAGGAAGCGTGATGCGAAGCTCTTCGTGCGTGTGGGTGGGACATCTACCATGAATCGGTGACGCTTCGCCGATTGTCTTGTGGTAAGATGATGGAATATGGATAAATGTCGTGGTGGCCCGGAGGATTAAGACGCCCGCTTCTAATGCATGTACATACGTGCGGGCTCGAAACCTACTAACGGCAAGTGCCAATGTGACATTTTCTTGATTATTTAGACACCATTGGCAAAAAGTGGAGGAAAACATCGTGAGGAAACCTAAGCTTGTAATTTCTAACTGTAAGTTTGTAATCGCCAACTCGCATTTAACAAGCGTGGTGATTAATGATCAAACCTTTTCCTTGTGAGAAGAGGCTTTGTTCAGCAGTGGTATATACAGGCTGTTGATGATGATGAAGATGATGGAATGGACTAGAGGGAATCATGTTGTGCAATTAGCTGATATAAATAGATCTAAAGTTTCTTTAGATACGAGGGCGTAATAACAGGGAAAACCTTACTTTGTTGATCATATCATTTTTAGACATCCGATGAAAAATTATACCTAGCGTGCAACTATCGGCGAAGGATCTAATTAATGCAGAATCTAGGATCACGCTGTGAAGCTAATATTAAAACAACATTATAAACAATCATCAATCTAAACAAATTTGTCGGTAAAACACATTATAACAAAACAGAAGTTCAATAAAAACCTCAGAAGCTTACCTAATGTTTATTTATTATATTACACATTACTATAAAAGATGTTACTTACAAGGAGAATCTTATAAATCTTATGTCACAACGTCACGATAGAGTATTATTATATGAAAACAAATTCGTTGAACAAAAGATGATGCGGTCACTCAGAAATATGATGATAATGTGTATTACGTATATGTTATATGGAAATGATAATATTTCCTGATGTATGGAGGTTGTTCCTATCGCAAATCCTTCCTTTTACTTGCGAATAGAGGCCTTGGTCAACGAACTTTGCTTGGGCATCAACAGTGACACATTTGCTATTGTGACGCAATCACTGTCACTTCTTAGGTCAACAGAGTTATGTCAAGGAAGATGGTCTGTTTCGATCGTAATTCTTCGTAATTGGTTTGCTTCTCATTAAGGTCGGAAACTGAGTCAACTCATAATTGGAGATGTTTAAAACTTTCCACGTGGTTGGTTAAGGAAGTCTTTGGTTTTAGTCGTTTTTCATATAAATGTATTTATGTAGATTATATCCAATACTCAAACGCCACTAAATTTTAACTCGCGCTTAAGTATAAGTAGTTCTGTCACTGTCTCTACAAATTCCTTATAGAATGACAGAGATGGCTCTAAACATTACGTTTACTAATTACAACCAAAAATTAAGTAGCCTATTATGTTTTCGGCTTACTCACGTAATAATTTGACGAGGAACTTGATTAGTTTCAAGCTATGCTAGAGGCTCATATTTATGAGCAGCATTTCGCGACCCGTGACGCGGCGACTGTCGCGCTGCTACTGAAAACATAATAATTTATTTAGTATGTCTCACGAAAGTTACAATGCAAATTAATTAGCCTTTCAGTATTAGGGCATTGGTTGCTAATTTATTTTGTTTTAGGACATCTTATAGACCACTTATGTATATGTCAGAAAATTGAAAATAATACAAAAGAAATACTACATTTTATGAGCGAATATGCCGAAGAAGCCATCAGTCAGTCAGGACATTCTTAATATAGGCATATTTATTTCAAGATCCTGTCGCTTAATTAAGATATTTTTGTACCTACGTTGACCAGTCAGATTGTTATTAATTTTATAGGAACTTGTACTGAAAGCCTACATTAGTATATCTAAGTAGGATATCTATTTAGATAGGCATATTTAGACACTTATGTGTGAAGTTCGCGTTTTATTGCATACCAGATTAGGTAACGAAGACAAAGAAATATTAAAATTCATGCAAATTGCGTCTAACTAATTGATGAATGAGATCGTTTTATGTTTGTTGTATTTATTCATTTTTTTGACATTTTTTTAATACATATCATTGTTATGATGTAGATATGACTGTAGCTTTTTAAATTGTTGCAACGTATTACAAGTAAGTACTATTCTCGTACAATTTGTCGTGGTGGCCCTGAGGTTGAAGACGCCTGCTTCTTATGCACGAGGGCGTGGGTTCGAAACTTACCAACGGCAAGTACCAATGTGAGTTTTCCGAGGTATATGTACTTTCTAAGATTACTTAGACACCACTGACCAACGGCGAAGGAAAATATCGTGAGGAAACGTAATCTTGTAATTTCTAATTATAAATTTGTTATCGCCAACTCAAATTGAGCAAGCGTGGTGATTAATGCTCTAACCTTCTCCGTGTGATAAGAGACTTTGCTCAGCAGCTGGCACTTATAAGCTGTTGATGATGACTATTCTCGTAACAATGGGTCTCGCCTCACCCAAAGCGGGTGATGTCGTTGGAAGATATTCCCATTTCTTAAAAATGGCTCAGTAGGTTAAAATATAGGCAGGTCTCTTCAGAGGACACGGTGGCCCTTACAGGTGCTGAGGGTGGCCAACGGGGAGGTTTTAGTGAGGTAAGAATCCCACACTCCCTACTTTTTCTCCCCAAAAAACCTAGGCGCCTTTTGAAGGTTTCCCCCCGACATCAAAAAAAAAAGGTTAAGATATGAAGTTTGTGATATGAACATCTCTGGTTTAACGCTCGTGAAGGGCAAAAAGTGATAATGGATATATAGGATATCCTTTTACTAAAGTCCGGAGTTACAGGTAAAGTGACTGGAGTCCAAGCTGTTTGGACTCCACAAATTCTGTAGTTTATAACTCATATGCTAATGAGAGCAGTGCTCTTTAGATCGGATCAGTTTATAGTTAACACTGGATAGAAAGAAAGAAAGAAAAGCCATTTATTTGCTACGACACACAACAAGAATATAGGAACACACAAAAAAACGATAGATATGATAGAGTCTCTTTGTATGCTGTGGAAGTATAAGAGAGCAGATGGCAGTCCCTTCTCATAAAATACTGACATTTAGCGAAATTTGTTAAGTAACATTCAAGACTGATCCTAAAGCTACATAGCCATACCTAGTTAGTAAAAGACTATGAGAAAGAAAGAAAATAGTAGGTATACATATAACAGCCATATACTTAATAAATCATTCCACTGAAAAAACTAATTTATCGAAAAAATTACTTATTTTTGGCTCAATCCGATTCGAGTTGAAGGAGCATTGGCGATTTCAGACTCATAAAAATATTTTTTTCAGTGAAGTCTTAATAAACTCAGAACGTAATTCTTAATTGAAAATGACCAAATTGATACTTACGTACGGTAAGGTAAGTATTTCGGGAACACCTGACTCTCTAATGTATCACTACACCATGCAACTTACAGATAACTAAAAAAGAAAACGAAAATCTCTTTATCTACAACTTACCGATTAACTTCGAAATTATGGAATGAAAAATCGAATGAAAAAAAAATGGAAAACAAACAAAGAAATTCAAATTCCAAAAAAAAAATGGTTACAGGTATCCATTTTTTCACATTTTAAGGTGTAGATAATGTTGTTAAATACAGAACCAGGTGTTTCAGCCAATTATTTTGATGAAGGAGACAGCTTTGTCATTTCTTTATGAAAAAAGCCATGGAAAAATAGTCCGTTACCTTTACTATATTTTTCATAGGTAATGTTTCTTCAATGAAACGGAAACGGAAGTTTCCGATAAAAACATCGCAAGCATCAACTGAATTACTCTTTAGTGCATTAATAAAAGATAAAACATGTTTACACTCATGAAATGACGGAAAATAAACAATTCGTAACACATTCCAATACTTACGTATCCGGTAAAAATCCGAGCAAAAATTGCTATCCGATACAAAATATTTACATTTATCAGGAAATGATATAAGATTAGGTAATTATCAGCAAAACAACTAAAATATAGGAAATGTAAATCAAGAAATATTCAAGGTTGCTCTTATCGATTAGTTTACACATTTTCGTTCACATCCTGTATCAGGAAGTAAGGAGTAACGAACCTTGTCGACATGCGCATGCGTCTGCTGTTTACCCTATGACAGGTCTTGGCGACATCTTTATAAAAACGCGCGCCTCGCGAATTTACTTCACACAACTATCGCTGTTTCCTGAACGCCTAGTCCTTTAACTTAGAATTAAAGTTTTATTTTAATTAATTTAATTAAATATTATTAAGAATTTTCTTACTAAGGCGATTTAAATTAAAATTGTAAAGAGATAGTAAGACAAAAAAAACAAAATGAATACTTTCCTTTACTTTTTTGTAATTTTAATCAGTAGTATAAACGCTTTGCCTGCAGGAGAGGGTTATTATAATTTCTTTAATTATTTATACGATGATTTTGGAGAAAACAGCATCGATGGGGTTGAAACTATTGATATATCGAGCTTGGGACCTGAGGCATACGGACTACCGAAAAATGAAAGTGGTAAGTAAATGCTAAATATATTTTTAATTAAAGGTGGTTTTTAATAAAAAAATATATGATTAAAATAGAGACAATAGGTATCTATTCTGCCTAAAATAGTCAAACGTTAAATAAGAATTCATATCAGGATCCCCTCATGTAATACCCAATACTGGAAAAATGCAATGAAAAGTTTAATTAAAACAAATAAAAGGTATTAAAGATTTTATTTAATTTTCTTTGGTTATAATTGTGGTGGTACCTATTTTATTATGTTTAACAATTTTCTCCTGAGCTTTTTCCTTACCCGCAGTTCATACTGAAAAATATGTCATACAAAGTCTTCTTAAAAGCATTTATGAATAACATTTTTTTTTTATTTCAAATGAATGAACTTTTTTGTCAGTTTTTGTTAATCTGTTTTATATGGAGCCAGTCAGGGAGTTAATGTAAATACATTTACATTACAAATATTATAGGACATATACTATTTGAATACCTACTTAGTAAATTTGGATATCGTTGTAACTTGTATTCAAATTAACGTTAATATTTTTGTTATATATATTTTAGTAGATAACAGGTAATTGTTATTTTCTTTTTCGATCTCTTTGACTGGTTTATTTACTTGCATTATTCTTACACAATTGAATCAACAAGATTATGTAACTGAGAATTGTATTGAGAACCCGATTGGTAAAGGGTACCCTATGGAGTTTCTTGCTCGTTCTTCTCCGTTGGAATCTCCACGTTGGAATAAGCAAATAACTTCACTTTTTTATTGACGTTCAAAGGTGTCTTCCTGGTCTAATTGAAATAAATGATATTCACTTTGACTTGACTTTGACTATCACGAATTTTTTTATCTTTATTTTACTTATTTATTACACTTTTCCTTTGCTTTATATTTTATAAAAAATATATAGGTACTTTAAGTAAATTTAAAATTAGATATTTATTGATAAATCGTGTTTACCTACATGTACCTAAAGATGATGTTAAACTATGTTTTTTCGTGTACATTCTCACAAACTTTCACATTTATAATATTAGTAGGATAAAAACCAATTAATTTACTTTTCAAAATTAATAACAAGAAGCCGTCTCACAGCTTTTTTACAACAAAGTATTGAGTGGTCTTGATAATTGCACAAAATGAGGAAAATACAAAATAATGCATGTAGATCGATGCATAACGAGATGCATCGCTTGTCATGTTCATACGAAAAACATGACAGCTACGTGTCAACCTCATCCGATAATAAAATAACGAAAAGTTACCAGGCTGACAGAACACTTCCTTGCATTCATGATATCCTAATCGACTAATAGTGTTTATGTGCAACTTAACTGCGTTGCACAACTTTTTAGCTGTTACGGGGTCGAATTGAATAGTTTTAGGATATGTTAAATTATCTTATCACTAAGTACTTTAACGCTACTAAAGTTGATTGTTTTTATGTATTCGACGAAGACATTTTGAATATCAAGGAGTACTGCTATTTTATGGGTTTATCAATCAACTTCATTGGAGTAGGTTCTTATTCCGACACAGTATAAGTCATTGAGCATGGGTGGCTCCCCGTCCGACCAGAAACAGACCCGAGCGTACGTCGCGTCGCGTTCCGCGCGCGCCTCAAAGAACCGTCAGACCACCACAGATGGGGCCCAATTGGGCCGATGGCGATTCGGAGTCGCGGAGAACCTAACGGGTAACCGGGGCTACCGCTCGACGTGCAGGAGAAGGAACGGCGTGGTTTTTAGTCAGTAAGAGTCTGACACTCCCTCCCGCCTCACCTAGGCGGGAGCAGTAATTCTATGATTTTCCCCCCTTAAAAAAATTAGTCATTGAGTAGGTATTATTAAGTCACGAGATACTTACATGAACTTCCAAGTAGCTTCTATGAAGTCAGCAGGTTCTTGATACTTAAACTTAGAAGTAAATGAACTTAGAAATTACAACTTGTACATCGATAAGTGTTTTACAAAAATAGATAGGGACCTACTGGTCACACATAAGAATATTGTTAACGTTCCAACCACAAAACATAAAAACAATATTAAAAAAGAGTACCCATACTTTTACCTTTTAATTCCAGGTGATGCATTGTCCCAATGGTCAGAATCATCTCTCATGAACCCTGAGGAAGTCGGAGACTATGCAGAGGGAGATATCCTGATGCCTCCACAGCAAGGCAGGAACGGTGTCAGGGAAGAAGTGCTACGCTGGCCCCAGGGACATATTCCTTATGTTATTGAAGGATATTTCAGTATGTATTACGGAATAATAGTTAAGCATCCGACAATGTATCTTCTGATAGATGTTGTACGAACGATAAATGTTGATCTGAATGTTACTAGTAACCTTTTATCGCCGAAGGGGTAGGCAGAGGTGCACATTACGGCACTTAACTCGTCGTGTGTGTAAACGTGGATCCACGCGAGATATGTACAATGTATTTTCTATCACATATACAGGCATTCAAGCGGTTAAGGGCACTGTACAATGTAACATCCACTTTTCACTATTTATGTTTTCAGTCCCATGTAATAGGGGGTGAGACACATATCCATACACCGTGCTACTACTGAGAATTCAAAAAGAAACTAGTAATAATACTTTGCCCGACCTGGGAAACGAACCCGAGACCCCTTGCCCAGCAGTCGCACTTGCGACCACTTAGCCAACGAAGCGGTCTGTAGATTAAATTGGTAAATAAATGTAACATAATTTTTAATTATAGGCCAATTATAGGTTATATGGGAAAACTGTTGTTATTTTGTCTTATCATTAAGAGCTTCGAAAACATCTATATCGCCCTGTAAATCGAACTGAAGATCCTGTGCTTGACAGGTACGCTTCTCACGACTTGACTCACGATACAAACAACAAGATTGTAGTCCAAACTCAATTTAGCCTGGACTTTTCTAAAAGTCACGCACAAAAAATCAGTACCTTTGTGTTTCCACAGACTCAGAGCAGCGTGAAACTATAATGAGGGCGATAGCCGACTACCATAGACTGACGTGCTTACGGTTTGTACCCTACAATGGACAGAAGGACTACATCACTATTCAGAGCAAGAATACTGGATGCTGGTCTAGTGTTGGACGCATTGGTGAGCTTTTGTTATACTAGTGTCTAACGAACTACATTTTTTTCTAAATTATAAGTATGAGGTAAACAGAGTCACTTATACATACTGAATGTCGTGGTGGCCCAGAGGTTGAAGACGCCTGCTTCTCATGCACGAGGGTGCGGGTTCGAAACCTACCAACAGCAAGCACCAATGTGACTTTTTCCGAGTTATATGTACTTTCTAAGATTATTTAGACACCACTGACCAACGGTGAAGGAAAACATCGTGAGGAAACCTGTGCTTATAATTTCTAATTATAAGTTTGAAATCGCCAACCCGCATTGAGCAAGCGTGGTGATTAATGCTCTAACCTTTTCCATATGAGAAGAGGCTTTGCTCAGCAGTGGGCATTTATAGGCTGTTGATGATGATGACTGAATGCCATCCTTTCATCAGTGTTATGAAGCTAATGTTATGGGGGTCCATCTGTTACTATACACCGGCCACGAGTCCAGAGTTTGTGCTACTACTATCAATTTTACCGAAAATTTTGCAACAACTGCTTTTTTCTCAAATTGTGGAAGTGCCATCATTGTAGTGTGGGAGAGCCATGCTTCAGCACATATGGGCCGGCTCAACCGGAGTGATACCACGGCCGAGCAGAAAACCGACGTGGAGCAACGCTTGCGTTGTGTTTCGTCGTATGAGTGAGGTCACCGGAGGCCCAACTACCCCACTCATCAATTACGCCAATTCCCGAATCCTCAAATTCTGAATCCCCAAAAGGGCGGTTACGCATTTGTAACATCTCTGGTGCCGAGTGCTTACCATCAGGTGATCTGTCTGCTGGTGTACTGGATTATGCCATAAAAAAGTATATAACAATAAGGTGCACTATTTAAGTCCACTTGTGACATGTCTCTTAAATAAGTCCTTAACTAAAGTACTTTCTCACAGGTGGTCGCCAAGAAGTCAACCTCCAGTCTCCTGGATGTGTCTCCAAGAAAGGCACAGTGCTGCACGAGCTGCTGCATGCTATTGGGTTCATGCATGAACAGAGCCGACCTGAACGTGATGATTTCGTTAGAGTGCGATACAATAACATCAAACCTGGTAAGTAAAATACATGGAATGATATGGTGGCGTCTACCATAAAACTGATAGTGATGCTGGTGATAACAAAATTTTAAATATTACATACATAACATCACGCCTTTTTTCCCCGAAGGGGTAGACAGAGGTGCACATTATGCCACTGTACAATGTAGCACCTAATTTTCACTATTTATGTTATGCGTCTCATGTAATAGGGGGTGAGCCTATTGCCATATTGCCTGGCACCATTCCAGACTCCGTGCTACTACTGAGAATTTTTTTAAAAACCCAGTAATACTTTGCCCGACCCGGGAATTGAACCCGAGACCCCTTGCCCGGCAGTCGCACTTACGACCACTCGACCAACAAGGCATTTTAAATATTAATATTACTAGATTTCGTCTATCACAATTCAATCGATGCTTCGAAGGCCAAAAATAGCTCTCCAAACCTGTTCCTAGCCTACACTTTATATGTCACAGAAGATAACTTAATGGTGTCTTTTTCAAGGTGCTGAGAGTAACTTCAGGAAGTCGACAGTCAAGCAAACAAATGACTTCAACGTGCCTTATGACTACAACAGCGTGATGCATTACTCCGAGTTTGCCTTCTCTAAGAACCAACAGAAGACCATTGAACCTAAGGTATAATTCTCTAGATATCGTCCTGATTTGTTCAGGTGTAGATTCTAAAATATTCGTAACTAGCTTTTACTCGCGGCTTCACTCGCGTTACAAAAGAATAAAAAGTAGCCTATGTGACATATACCAATACACACAGCGCCATCTATACCAATACTTTTGTTTTTCCTCAGGAATATAAATTTTTCCAGGTTAAAAAGTACCCTATTATTTAATCCGGACTTCTAACTTTACGTCTGCAAAAAATCAAAGCAATCGGTTGATTAGTTACGGCGTGAAGGTGGAACAAACAAACTCACTTTCAGATTTATAATATTAGTAAGGATTGGCTGAACCGGCAAACTTTGTACAGTCTCAAATAACTTTTTCTCACCTTTTAAACCTTCCCTGGATTTCCAAGAATTTCAAGACGATACTTAATTAACCAAATCGGTTCAGCCGTTCTCGAGTTTTAGCGAGACTAACGAAGGGAAATACTTTTTTATTTATATAGATTTTGAAGGACCTTACAGTGTACATACCTAACAAACAACCAACACTTTTTTATTATATTCTTAATGTTCAGCTATTATTCTGAAGTCACCCTTGTAATTAAATGCTATTTCCAGGTTGGAGGTGTAAAACTGGGACAACGCGAGGGTCTTAGCCGTGGAGACGTCAAGAAAATAAACAACATGTATAACTGCAAGAAAGAGTAAGGTTCCTCTCAAATAGAAATACCAACTAGTTTGATATACAGTCAGCCAGGGTCCTACTTCATTAAGACACCATGGTCGTACGGCCATAGAGAGATCCCAGAACAAACGCTGAGGTTGATTTGGTCGCTGACAATCGCCATCAACTTGAGTTCAGATGAAATGCCCTCGATACAACTGTATTGTACAAATATTTGATTGTTTTTGCAATCTGGTCGTATGATCATGATGCCCCAGTGAAGTAGGGCTCTAATAAAAAGAGTTTTAAATAATACTACGTCTGTTATTCCCCAGGTATATGCCGTGGTCACCAAACCAACCTTATACGCCAAACCGACCCTATACGCCAAACAGACCCTATAGACCATACAGACCCTATAGACCAAACAGACCGTACCATAGCTTCTACGTTCCACCTGTTATGTCATTTTTCCCATGTAGGTAACAGGGAACTAACTCATGCCACTCATGTACAACTGAGATGGTTGCTACATTTAAAATTTCTTGCATGATCTGCAACACACTTCTGATGTCCTGGTACTACAGGCGTATTTAGGCTACGGTGACTTATCCCTAACATACTACTGAGAATTTTAACCGGAAATTCTGGGCATCATACCATTGGGTTCGGACTACGAATAACTTTACTAACACGGCAGTCTAATGACTTATTCTTAAATCCTTGACTTATTCTTTAATAATTTTCATCAGTTGCTGAATAAAATGCCTCTCATTCAAGAGGTTTGCCATAATTCTATGCTTGGCAGGCGGCTTAAGGATCGCCGACCATCGATACAACATGCTACTACCCATCCTTTGGTGGTTGATTGCAGTTTAGAAAATGTATATTAATACTTATATTTTAATTTTCAGGGAGCCCCAGTCTGGTTGGCTAGGAGGAGTGTTCCAGAACATATTTGGAGCAAAAACACGTTAATTTATGATTGTTTTATGTTATGATTTAATTTATAAATAGCACTTCAATAACTGTATTGAATTCACAAAGATCTGATAGATGTAAGTTTTCTAGTCTTTACGTTTGTATGAAATAAAGCGTTGTAATAATTTATTTTATGGTTTTATTCATATCTTATCTTATATTTGTTTTTTTGTTTGTTTGTTTGAACGCGCTAATCTCCGTAACTACAAGTCTGATTTGAATAATTATTTTTGTGTTGGATAGCGCGATCGAGGATGGCTATAGGCTATAAAACATTACGCTACAACCAATAGGAGCTGAGCAGAGCGTGTGAAACCGCGCGGGAGTAGCTAGTGTTTTTCTAAATCTGAATATTTCATTTCCATTGGAGAAAACACACTTTATGTTTTTTTTTGTTTTTCTCTTTGTAAAAATACTTAAAAAAACACAGCGTTACCAAGTTTATAAAGAGCCAGCGCCATCTATCGCTACTACAATACGTATTTCGTTGAGTTATAAAACGGCTAATAAATGAGTCAAAAAGTGCACTAAATAAGTACCTTTAACAACCTACTATCTATAAATTACACAATTTAATCTTAAATGGTAGGAACCAACATTCAAACGCGAAAAATACTTAAAAAAAAACACAGCGTTACCAAGTTTACAAAGGGCCAGCGCCATCTATCGCTAAGTAGCGTAACTACTACATAGAGACCAATTAGTAATTCGTTGAGTTATAAAACAGCAAATAAATGAGTCGAAAAGTGCACCGAATAAGTACCTTTAACAACCTACGATCTATAAAATACGCAATTTAATCTTAAATGGTAGGAACCAACATTTAAAAGCGAGAAATAATTAAAAAAAACACAGCGTTACCAAGTTAATGTAGGGCCAGCGCCATCTATCGCTAAGTAGCGTAACTACTACATAGACATTAATTAGTAATTCGTTGACTTATGAACACGACAAATAAATGAGTCGAAAAGTGCACAGAATGAGTATCTCTAACAACCTTTAATCTATAAAATATACAATTTAATCGTAAATGGGAGGAACCAAAATTTAGAAGCGAAAAATACTTAAAAAACAAGGTTACCAAGTAAGTAGCGTAACTACTACATAAATACCAATTAGTATTTCGTTGAGTTATAAAACAGCAAATAAATGAGTCGAAAAGTGCACCGAATAAGTACCTTTAACAACCTACGATCTATAAAATACGCAATTTAATCTTAAATGGTAGGAACCAACATTGATAAGCGAGAAATACTTAAAAAAAACACATCGTTACCAAGTTTATTAAGGGCCAGCGCCATCTATCGCTAAGTAACGTAACTACTACATAGACACCAATACGTATTTCGTCGAGTTATAAAACAGCAGATAAATGAGTCAAAAAGTGCACCGAATAAGTACCTTTAACAACCTACGATCTATAAAACACACAATTTAATCTTAAATGGTAGGAACCAAAATTTAAAAGCAAAAAATACTTAAGAAAACACAGCGTTACCAAGTTTATTATGGGCCAGCGCCATCTATCGCTAAGTAGCGTAACTACTACATAAACATTAATTAGTAATTCGTTGACTTATGAACACGACAAATAAATGAGTCGAAAAGTGCACAGGATGAGTACCTTTAATAACCTATAATCTATAAAATACACGATTTAATCTTAAATGGTAGGAACCAACATTTAAAAGCGAAAAATACTTAGGAAAACACAGCATTACCAAGATTGTAAAGGGCCAGCGCCATCTATCGCTAAGTAGCGTAACTACTACATAGAAACCAATTAGTAATTCGTTTACTTATGAACACGACAAATAAATGAGTCGAAAAGTGCACCGAATCAGTACCTTTAATAACCTACGATCTATAAAATACGCAACTTAATCTTAAATGGTAGGAACCAACATTTAAAAGCGAGAAATACTTAAAAAAAACACAGCGTTACCAAGTTTACAAAGGGCCAGCGCCATCTATCGCTAAGGCGTAACTACTACATAGACATTAATTAGTAATTCGTTGACTTATGAATACGACAAATAAATGAGTCGAAAAGTGCACAGGATGAGTACCTTTAATAACCTATAATCTATAAAATACACGATTTAATCTTAAATGGAAGGAACCAACATTTAAAAGCGAAAAATACTTAAGAAAATACAGCATTACCAAGATTATAAAGGGCCAGCGCCATCTATCGCTAAGTAGCGTAACTACTACATAGAAACCAATTAGTAATTCGTTGACTTATGAACACGACAAATAAATGAGTCAAAAAGTGCACAGGATGAGTACCTTTAATGACCTATAATCTATAAAATACACGATTTAATCTTAAATGGAAGGAACCAACATTTAAAAGCAAAAAATACTTAGGAAAACACAGCATTACCAAGATTATAAAGGGCCAGCGCCATCTATCGCTAAGTAGCGTAACTACTACATAGAAACCAATTATGAACACGACAAATAAATGAGTCGAAAAGTGCACAGGATGAGTACCTTTAATAACCTATAATCTATAAAATACACGATTTAATCTTAAATGGAAGGAACCAACATTTAAAAGCGAAAAATACTTAAGAAAACACAGCATTACCAAGATTATAAAGGGCCAGCGCCATCTATCGCTAAGTAGCGTAACTACTACATAGAAACCAATTAGTAATTCGTTGACTTATGAACACGACAAATAAATGAGTCGAAAAGTGCACCGAATAAGTACCTTTAACAACGTATAATCTATAAAGCACATAATTTAATCTTAAATGGTAGGAACCAAAATTTAAAATCGCAAAATACTTAACACAACACAGCGTTACTAAGTTTATTAAAGGGTCAGAGCCATCTATCGCTAAGTAGCGTAACTACTACATAGACACAATTTAGTAATTCGTTGAGTAATAAACAGCAAATAAATAGGTCGAAAAGTGCACCGAATAGGTACCTTTAACAACGTATAATCTATAAAATACATGATTTAATCTTAAATGGTAGAATTACGCTACTTAGCGATAGATGGCGCTGGCCCTTTAAAAACTTGGTAACGCTGTGTTATTTTAAGTATTTTTCGCTTTTAAATTTTCGTTCCTACCTTGTAAGATTAAATTGTGTATTTTATAGATTATAGGTTGTTAAAGGTACCTATTCTGTGCACCTTTTGACTCATGTATTTGCTTTTTTATAACTCAACCAAATACTAATTGGTGTCTATGTAGTAGTTACGCTACTTAGAGATAGATGGCGCAGGCCCTTTTAATAAACTTGGTAACGTTGCTTTTTTAAGTATTTTCGCTTTTAAATTTTGGTTCCTACCATTTAAGATTAAGTTGCGTATTTTATAGATCGTAGGTTGCGGTGCACTTTTCGACTCGTATATTTGACGTGTTCATAAGTCAAGGAATAACTAATTAATGTCTATGTAGTAGTTACCCTACTTAGCGATAGATGGCGCTGGCCCTTTGTAAACTTGGTAACGCTGTGGTCTTTTTAAGTATTTCTCGCTTTTAAATTTTGGTTCCTACCATTTAAGATTAAGTTGCGTATTTTATAGATCGTAGGTTGTTAAAGGTACTTATTCGGTGCACTTTTCGTCTCATTTATTTGTCGTGTTCATAAGTCAACGAATTACTAATTAATGTCTATGTAGTAGTTACCCTACTTAGCGATAGATGGCGCTGGCCCTTTGTAAACTTGGTAACGCTGTATTTTTTTTAAGTATTTCTCGCTTTTAAATGTTGGTTCCTACCATTTAAGATTAAATTACGTATTTTATAGATCGTAGGTTATTAAAGGTACTTATTCGGTGCACTTTTCGACTCATTTATTTGCTGTTTTATAACTCAACGAAATACTAATTGGTATTTATGTAGCAGTTACGCTACTTACTTGGTAACATTGTTTTTTAAGTATTTCTCGCTTTTAAATGTTGGTTCCTACCATTTAAGATTAAGTTGCGTATTTTATAGATCGTATGTTATTAAAGGTACTTATTCGGTGCACTTTTCGACTCATTTATTTGTCGTGTTCATAAGTCAACGAATTACTAATTGGTTTCTATGTAGTAGTTACGCTACTTAGCGATAGATGGCGCTGGCCCTTTATAATCTTGGTAATGCTGTGTTTTCTGAAGTATTTTTCGCTTTTAAATGTTGGTTCCTTCCATTTAAGATTAAATCGTGTATTTTATATTATAGGTTATTAAAGGTACTCATCCTGTGCACTTTTCGACTCATTTATTTGTGGTGTTCCGGTGTTCATAATTGGTTTCTATGTAGTAGTTACGCTACTTAGCGATAGATGGCGCTGGCCCTTTATAATCTTGGTAATGCTGTGTTTTCTTAAGTATTTTTCGCTTTTAAATGTTGGTTCCTTCCATTTAAGATTAAATCGTGTATTTTATAGATTATAGGTCATTAAAGGTACTCATCCTGTGCACTTTTCGACTCATTTATTTGTCGTGTTCATAAGTCAACGAATTACTAATTGGTTTCTATGTAGTAGTTACGCTACTTAGCGATAGATGGCGCTGGCCCTTTATAATCTTGGTAATGCTGTATTTTCTTAAGTATTTTTCGCTTTTAAATGTTGGTTCCTTCCATTTAAGATTAAATCGTGTATTTTATAGATTATAGGTTATTAAAGGTACTCATCCTGTGCACTTTTCGACTCATTTATTTGTCGTGTTCATAAGTCAACGAATTACTAATTAATGTCTATGTAGTAGTTACGCCTTAGCGATAGATGGCGCTGGCCCTTTGTAAACTTGGTAACGCTATGTTTTTTTTTAAGTATTTCTCGCTTTTAAATGTTGGTTCCTACCATTTAAGATTAAGTTGCGTATTTTATAGATCGTAGGTTATTAAAGGTACTTATTCGGTGCACTTTTCGACTCATTTATTTGTCGTGTTCATAAGTCAACGAATTACTAATTGGTTTCTATGTAGTAGTTACGCTACTTAGCGATAGATGGCGCTGGCCCTTTATAATCTTGGTAATGCTGTGTTTTCTTAAGTATTTTTCGCTTTTAAATGTTGGTTCCTTCCATTTAAGATTAAATCGTGTATTTTATAGATTATAGGTTATTAAAGGTACTCATCCTGTGCACTTTTCGACTCATTTATTTGTCGTGTTCCGGTGTTCATAATTGGTTTCTATGTAGTAGTTACGCTACTTAGCGATAGATGGCGCTGGCCCTTTATAATCTTGGTAATGCTGTGTTTTCTTAAGTATTTTCCGCTTTTAAATGTTGGTTCCTTCCATTTAAGATTAAATCGTGTATTTTATAGATTATAGGTCATTAAAGGTACTCATCCTGTGCACTTTTCGACTCATTTATTTGTCGTTTCCATAAGTCAACGAATTACTAATTAATGTCTATGTAGTAGTTACGCTACTTAGCGATAGATGGCGCTGGCCCATAATAAACTTGGTAACGCTGTGTTTTCTTAAGTATTTTTTGCTTTTAAATTTTGGTTCCTACCATTTAAGATTAAATTGTGTGTTTTATAGATCGTAGGTTGTTAAAGGTACTTATTCGGTGCACTTTTTGACTCATTTATCTGCTGTTTTATAACTCAACGAAATACTAACTGGTTTTTAGATAGTAGTTACGCTACTTAGCGATAGATGGCACTGGTCCTTTTTAAAAACTTGGTAACGCTGTGTTGTTTTAAATATTTTTTGCTTTTAATGTTTCGTTCCTACCTTGTAAGATTAAATTGTGTATTTTATAGATTATAGGTTGTTAAAGGTACCTATTCTGTGCACCTTTTGACTCATGTATTTGCTTTTTTATAACTCAACGAAATACTAATTGGTATTTATGTAGTAGTTACGCTACTTAGCGATAGATGGCGCTGGCCCTCGTAAAACTTGGTAATGGACTGGATTTTTTAAGTAATATTCGCTTTAAAATTTTAGTTCCTACCATTTAAGATTAAATCGTGTATTTTATAGATTATAGGTTGTTAAAGGTACCTACACGAAATCATAACATCAACAATTATAGCAAATAAATTGTACGCTTTTGTTTTAACGCTCGATAGATGGCATTAGGATCGGTTAGCTGGCGCTATGGTATCGTTACCGGCGAAAGTATAGTTTCCGAGCTTCCAAAACAATTTTAAGTTTTTCCTATTAAGTATTCAACAGCCTTAGCGTGCTGAACTACGAGTGGTGCTATCTTAAAAATAAAATTAAAACAATTATATTTTGAAGTGACTAAGCATCTAGCACTGTGTTTGATATTTTTCGCTCGCTCAATAATAGGCTAGATTAGTTAAGTGTTTTATTTCTAGGTAGATATTATTATCTATAGTAGTTATTGTTTTTTCGTTGTAAGTCGCTTTGTTCATTGTTTAGGCTGATTGATAAAATAGCTGTATATTAGTTAGGTGAAGTCTTTTAAATTGAAATGGGAGGATGGTATTTGTGGTAATGCGAAAATAACTCCTGTATGTTGTTCTTTCACGCCTAAACGGTTGAACGGATTTTAAAGAAATTTGGTATGAAGGTAGTTTGAGTCCTGAAAAATCAAGACTTTACCGCGGCAGAACTTCTCATTCCCACGGAAAAATCTAAAAAGCGCGATATAACCGAATTACACGCGAGCGGAAAGCTACTTGTTTGTTTGTCTGTCTTAAATGGCAAAACGGAGGTACTAATTAACGTGATTTTTTAACTGTAGGTAGTTGAAGGGATGGATAGTCAAAAAGGCTACTTTTTATCCTTTTGCGACGCGAGCTAGGCCGCGGGTAAAAGCTAGTTAAACGATAAGTTAACTTTAAAAGTACTTTTATTATTCATAACATATTATTATTTATAACATGTACTACTTACTATTCTACTACTAAGTTATTGCGAGGTTAAATATTTCACATAGTTGCAAAAGGTACTAGGGCGGCATTAGTTACAAAGAGGTCTCCCTGACAATTTAAGATTTCTCATATCTTTCAATTTCCATCGACATCAGGCATCTTAGGAACTTGTATGATCTGTCGCAGGGGCAGGTTTCCTCTGAAACAATAAGACACATAAGAAATTCATTAACACCCTGTAAACATCGGAGAAAACGGTAGACTTGTTCCTAATGTTTCAAAAATTCCTTTTTTCTAGTTTCATTTTTATTATGGGATAAGCTGGTAAACGAGCAGGCGGATCACCTGATGATAAGCACCAGCACCAGCACAGCTGACACCTGGGACACCAGAGGCGTTACCTGTGCGCTACCGGCCATTTGGAGATTAGGAATTTGAGGATTGTTGGGAATTCAGTAATTGGGGAGATTGGGGAAGGGGCGGGGGGCACTCAAGCCGACTCATTCGCACCGAAGCATGGCTCTACCACACTTAAAACTTGTGATGATACTTGCACAAAACTATGGAATACAAATAACTAAAAACGACTTTATTAAAACTTATTAAAGGAAATTATAACAAAGTGCTTGGAACTTGCATAGCCTTGTGCTTTGTTTTTATAATAACTATCGTGAGACATACTAAATTAAGTAAAAACGCGGGTTACTCACGTGAATGACTGAGGGGTTCTTCCTCATGAGCAGCGTGCGCGGTCGTGGCGACGTCGCGCAGCTCATACTGGAAGATTGAAGAAGAACCCTTCTGTGGTTCGAAACTAGTAGAGCTTTTCTCAGTATATTCACGTGAGTAACCCGCGTTTTTACTTAATTTAGCCATGTGCTTGTAAAGCTACTCACGTCTATCAGTTGCACACAGTGCAGTCATGTCAGCGATGTCTTCCATAGGCTTTCCATTGCGTTCTCCAGCAAAGATGACAGCGGCTCTCGCTGGATTGAACTGCTTACCATCTTCTGATACTATGCCCACGTTTTCGAATACACAGCGGATGAAACACTGCGATGTAACAAATTAGGCGCATTAATTTAATACTATCTAACGGTATATTTTATAGTTCTATGTAAGTCGCATACGTATTTTCTTTATAGTAGTTATTTGAACTCACCTTTGGCGTCTTGTCGGTTTCATCAATGAAGCTCCCGCTCTCATTCAACGCTTGTAAATAAGCTGCAAGCAAAATTATTTTATCCGAATGACGAATATACTATTTATAGAGATGTTTGTTTGTTTAAAATAATACCACATGGCATGTCAAAAATTTAATTTTTTTTAGGATTTAATGAAGTTCTTCGCAAAATAAACTTTTATAACTGGGTATTATATTACGTAAATACTAATTGAATAGTATAGAATTAATTAAAGAAAATGAACAAAGAATTTTATGTGTCTTTGCCGATATTTACCAGGACAGAAAATTGGAACTTACTTGGATCAATTCTGTAGCTATCATTGCACATGTCCATTACAGCTAAGACATCCACATCAATGCTGTTAACCTGGTCAGACATAGTCGTGGTCATAGCTTCCTTAGTACTGGCAGATAGTACCACAGCGAATGTGATCATCGTGAGGACGATTGCAAACAGTACTTTAGTCATTTTGATGTGATTTCACTGTCATATAGTGACACTGAACATGGTCATTGCGATATTTATGTGAGGTGAGTAATTTAGTATGACAGAGGTTGAGAACGTTTTAAGTCTTCGTATTATTAAAATTAGATTATTTTAAAACATTAGACAAGTATTTTTTATTTCGTTACAGATACAAATACTTTCGACAATATATTGATTTGAAGTGTCACGTGATGTCACTTCTAGAGACGTTTTGTACGTAGAAATGACGTTTTTACTTCCACTCCTAAACTTTGATCCGTTTTATCTAACTAAGTAATGATTTCTTACACGATAAAATAAAAAAATACGTGTCTAATATTTTTTCATTACCTAACTGACGGACTAATTAGATTTTTAATTTTCATACCCTGTCGTCATCCCTATTAGGTATGATTTGTTTTATGCTGTGATCAACATAGATAGGTATCTACAGGTCACCTGACAGCTTCGGATATTATTACGGTTGACGATAATGAAATCACATTAAAATGAGTGTGTAAGCAGAAAGATAGAGTACTCTATGCTTAGACAAGTATTTATCAATGAGCCAGAAAAGGAAAAATAATACAAACTAATTACTATATATTCTTAATATCGAAAGATTAAAAAGTAATGGTATACATTCGAAGACATTTTTACGCTCCATTTAAAATTAAAATGAAATGTAGATTGGTTTCGAAGATTCTTTACTTTTCTGTCACCGCCACGTGACTGCTGCTACCCTGGTACATTAAGCAGTGGCTTTTGTTTTAATTTTCTGTTTTTACATAGTCATGCACCTTTTGTAATCTAAACACGTGTGATTCATGTTTATTTATTAAAGAGGGTTCTAACCACGTTTTATGGTTTTTCCTACGCTTTATTTTAATGTAGCTAGATTTAAAACTTTGTCAAGTAATCGCAAATGTGTCTATACTGAGAAAAGGTTTGATAGATTGGAGAAAATTTCATATTTTGTTTTCGATTTTCGGAATACCTACTAAATTTCAACATGGAGTTTGATTTAAAATACCCGAACAATATAGGTACTATAGGTTCACTCAATACTACATAGGACTTACTGCATATCTAGAGTCAGGTGTGTTTTACATTGTGCCTAAGTAGGTATATGAGCAATGAGCAACTCTGCCTATCTTCTCTAAGATTAAAAGTCGTGACATTTTGTATTACGTTTTTATGTAGCTAAAAATGAATTGACATTTCGGAGAATGTAAGTAAGAAAAAAGATGTTATTTAGTACACCATTTCACAATTATTTCTGTAAATATGTCAGGGCCAGTTCCGTTTCAAAAACATACATTTTTAATCTGTGTCAAAAAACCACGCGACGAATATAGAAATGAAATTCTTATTTCAAATTACAAAAAAAAAGTCAATTCATAAATTGTGATCCAAAAGTACTTAGGTACTACTGTTTTTCTTTATTTATTTTTTACTAGTGGCCATGTTTCCTACTAAAAATATATATGCACCACTATTTACCTTTTCAGGGACTAAAAGTAGATGTTACAGAAAAGGAGGTTAGGTACCTATGAGTGTGGATGAATATGAAAATGTTTACGACTCCGTAGCCAATGATTACAAGTAATGGCAGATATAATGTCTTTGCAATTATATTATTAGTTTCTATCTACTTATACTCTTTTGTATATTGACTTAAAATCAATTAGTGACTCGACTGACAATAGCGTAGTGGTTGCAATTCAGGAATAATGAGTTTTTTTAAGGGGAGATAATCATCGAAAGACTTCTCCCGCCTAGGTGAGACGGGAGGGAGTGTCAGACTGATACTGATTAAAAACCACCCCGTTCCTACTCCTGCACTTTGAGCCGGAGCCCCGGTAACCGTTTAAGTTTTCCGCGGCTAGAAATACTGTGTAGGCTCTGACTTTGACGCTTGGTCGAGAAAATGTATATGGCTTTTAACTAAAATTTACTAGAAGTGTATCTGATGAATAAAATGGCTATGTGGCATTTATAATTCAATTAAGAATTATATACGTAGAAATTAAATACTTTTCTACGTATATAATTCTTAATCATACAAGGAAATATAAAAAGTTTCATCAATATTAGTGCAGCCATTTCGGAGATCAGAGATCAGTGACATATACATACAGAAAGAACAAATCCAAATAAAAATTATGTTCACTTGTTGTAGTACACATTTTGTGGGCCAATTAGGTATTATTTAGGTTCTATTTTCGGGTCTAGGTATCATCGAATTATTCTAGAAATTTCTCCATGCGGATGTTGGATTTGCACAAATTGTAGTAATTTGTGAATAATAAGAGATAATTGGTTCGGTTTAAACGAGGTCGGTAAACACCGACGTTGATGCGAAGCAATCAGTTACAATTTATATGTAATTCTGTTTATTGAAACGTGAGAACTTGTATCCGGTAGTTTTCAGCCATTTTATTTGAGTACACATGTACTTAGTACGTTTTTATTAATTATATGTGGTTTTATAATAGTGTTCTGCTGGTTTGTTTGTCTAGACGTTTCTACCTCTAGTTCAGGCAAGGAAAGTATTTAGGTAGTCTGAATTTAACTTTCAGTAGTAAAGCGAAGACGAGAAATATGGAACTATAGGTATCCACGTTCAGTATTATATTGGACCTTACATTCACTAAAAACAACTAAGTTCGATAAGGGCTTTATTATATACAAAATCAATTTAAAAAAAATTGTTTTGTTAACAAAATATTAACCTATTTTATTATCTTTGGGGTTAGTGCAGCGTATCTTCTTCGCGCGCCACTCGAGGAAGGAAATCGCAGCTTTTGAGGGCTGCTACGTGGTGGAAGCTGCCATAATGTATGTAGTGATAGGGTGCGGTGAATCCGCAAGGGCGTCCCTGCTCACGGCCACAATTAGAGGAGGAACACCGCGTTGGTTTTAGCCCCGTTAGGAGTCCGGCCCCCCCCCCCTCAATAACTGTTTTAAATTCCTTCTTTACATCCGACTATGAATGAAAGTCTCGACCACCAGATGCTTCTGAAAACATAAGATTTATTAAATTATTGTTTAATTTGCCTTAAGAAGCTCAAATTAGTCCAGGCATCAGAAAAACAATTCACTGTTTACTTAACATCTCGCAACAGACGTCAAGTGTAGAAATACTAAATCTTTGCCGCGTAAACAATTATACTTGAACAAATAATTCAATATTAATTTATGACGCTTGTATGACCGATGGTGCCTATGTGTTTACTATGTGCTATGCGTGACTATGCTTAGGATAAGATCGATGTGAAATGTTTGTAAACAGACCACAAAGACTAGGCAGGCTACTTTAGGCTGACAGAAAGAAAGAAAAGTCTTTATTTTACATATTAAAACAGGTGACACATACGGATTATACATATACAGTTTATAAATAGTAATGAGTACATATTTATGTTCCAATTCTGCGGTGTAAATACCATTTTTTTGTGCTTCCATCCCTATTTTGCTGTTATTAAAAAGTCATAACTTTCACTAATATCTGCCAATTTCATCTCTGCGTATCTAACGGTCGACTAGGGAAGATATAAGGCATTAACTCTGTGTATACAGAGTTATTTTATTAAGTTTTTATTAATAAATAGATAGAAGTGTGTGAGAGCCATGCTTCGGCACGAATGGGCCGGCTCGACCGGAGTGATACCACGGCCTCACATAAAACCGACGTGAACGACGCAAGCGGTGTTTCACGTCGTATGAGTGAAGATACCAGAGGCCCAATCACCAACCTCCCTCCCTTTCCCAATCCTTAAATCCTCAAATTCCTTATTCCCAAAAGACTGGTAACGCACTTGTAACGCCTCTGGTGTTCCAGGTATCCATGGGCGACGACGATTGCTTACCATCAGGTCATCCGCCTGCTTGTGTTATCCCATAACCGGTTTATCCCATAAAAAAAAAACAAAAAAGAAAGGGGCATAGGTTTCTCCAGGCAGTGTGATTTTCCAACGAAAACGAAAATTTAACAATACTTTATCCAGCTCAGTGGTTGAAACAAAGATTGCAACTTATTATAATAGGCAACGATGTTATTGTAATAAAAATAGGCTTCATCTGCAAAAGGAAACTTAAAAATATACTTATGTTTATGACAATAATTTAGCGGCTAAAAATAGAATTATAAAGCGATTCCAATAATACAAGAGTAATCACTTTCTGCTTTTCGAGAATGGACACAAAATGAATAATTCAAATCTGACCACTAGATACTGGCCATATTTGTAACACGAACGTAATCTGCATATACGAAAAACAAAGTATTCCGTTAAAAACTAAGAATTTTCATCAGTTCCGCGAACTTATTTTCTTTTACAGTTATATATTTTAATAAGATGGCTGGAAATAACGTAACTTACTATTCCCGTGCGTCGTCGTAAGAGACTATTGTTTTGAGGTTACGATGCCCAGGTCGGGCAAAGTACTACTGGGTTTTAAGAAAAAATCTCAGTGGTAGCACGGAGAATGGAATTGTGCGCGGTATATGGCAATAGGTTCACCCCCTATTTTATATGGGACTCATAACATAAATAGTGAAAAGTGGTTGTCACATTGTACAGTGGTATTAAGTGCCATAATATGCGCCTCTGCCTACTCCATCGGGGATAAAAGGCGTGATGTTATGTATAATTGTATATGTGACCTCATGCCCGGGTGAGGCGAAAGGGAGTGTCAAACTCTTACTGACTAAAAACTACCCCGTTCGTAGTCTTGCACTTCGAACCGGAGCCCCGGTAACCCGTTAAGCCCTCCGCGGAAGGGACTATACATTTGATAGAGACCAGGCAGCAGCCCTCTTTGATATAAAATTGAACCTTACCGCAATCCCCAACCCACCTGCCAGTCCCTCTTATGTAAAGAAAGCCTATAGTCCAGTATTGGACCGCCACGGACTACGTCGGACCGTCATGTACCTAAGTTATTAAAAGACCTATAAACTTTGCTGAAATAGTTTTGTGTTCTGTTGTTCGTATACTTACGTGCAAAAATGGGTTGTTGACACCTATTACTAATTAAGTAATTATGCAAGTATCTGTATCGCTGTTTAAACTGGGTTAACCGTAAAGCGCGGTATTTGGTGCGTGCAATATTATTTTGTTGCCTTAATAGTAATTTTTAGGTTGACTAGGCTATCATCATCAACCAGAATATGACCATTACTGATCAGAGGAGGAAGACTCTAAACTTAAGGGCAAGGCAGCTTTAGAAGCATATAAATGTCGCCTGAATTTTACGGAAGGGTGTTGACAGTCTCTCGGTATGTGGGCATTGGATATAACCGGAACAAAGTCCCGCAAAGAATAACTTTAAAGTTCTACACACACTGTTTAAAAAATATATTTTATTTATGTCAAAACATGATGCAGTTACTTTTCAATAATCAAAGCAAATTTTTTTTATCAGTCTGTCAGCTAGTCAAAACAGCTAGTATCATAAGACATACCAACATAAGCAAAAAGCCAAAGGGACCTAAGTCTTGCACTAGTTGAATATCTTAACAGCCCTTTATCTTATCAATACAAATTGTGTACTTCAGGCGACTATAGTTTTTTCTGCATTCATACATAGAAATGGTCGACAACTAGTCGTAGTTCGATAAACAATGAAGACTAAAGAAGTGTATGCAATTCTCGCCGCTATATTATATTTTCATGTTCTGGGAGTAGAGGGTGACTATCATGGTGAGTATTGAAATTATTTCAACATCTTTTGCTGTATATTTAATTTTTTAAATCAAAATACAGATACATTTAGTTCTAGTTATATTACATGTGAATCATCATGTACGATATGTAACGCATTCACACTGATTTTATAGAAACAAACGAATCCAGCGATCCACATTATGAATACATACAAATATTCAGAAGCATACCAGTTCTCTTTGAATATTTACTAAATGTAATAGAGGTAAGGCCTGAAATATTGGAGAATAACGACGTCACAATGTTTAAGAGAAACCTTGATGGTGAGTATGCGGAAATGGAATCTTGTGATGAAAATGATAGAGACAAACGTGAAAATAATGAAAAGGAAGACAATGTAAATAAAAGAGACACTGATGGTTCTAAAGAAGCTAGAACGACTGTAGCTTACGAATATGGTAACAGCAATGTTGTCATGAAAGGCTTGGATGAATTCGAGGAAAGTAAAGTAATTGCTAAAAGATTTTCTAATAATGGTAATCTGAATGATAATGCAGTAGATGGTATTTTTAAAAGAAAAGCTATATTTAAATTAGATGACGATACAAGAGATATGTTCCATAAATATGGTAAAGTGTTTCTTGGATTTGAACACATGTTTGGTTTAGATTTGAATCCTGAGGACATTGAAGATTGTGCAATTACGACTGAAAATCTTTTGGAACAATATAATAGTAAGAAAGGAGACAAAGACAAATAAAAGGTCAATTTAGTAGGTACACGATTTATTGTTCAAATTATATTAAATGAGGGACAATAAAACACTCTTGAGTATGTTCTATTCTTCTTTTCCCTGAAATTTCCAGTTTAAAGCTGAACAACTACTACCAGGTAAGTGGTGATACTTCCAAGAATCTGAAAAATAAACAGATAATAAGTGCGTTGCGACTCGAGCGCACTCGGGTCACGGCATTTAAGCTGAGCTCTGGCCTTTTTGCGCCGTCTTCATTGTTTTAATTTTTTTGTGTGTTATTGTACTTTGTGACGGTGTGCAAATAAATAATTTTTCTTTCTTTCTTTCTTTCATAATCAATTTAAAAATTATTTCTTGGTTGGTCCCTAGTGTGAATCCTGAGCAAGTTTACTTTTTTTATGGGATAAACCGATAAATGAGCAGACAGATCATCTGATGCTAAGAAATCGGCGCCGCCCATAGACACCAGAAACACCAGAGGCGTTACTTATAAGTGTGTTACCGACCTTTTGGGAATTGGGAATGCCCTGTGGACCCGTGAATGGTAAACTTAAATAAAAATATACTAAGAATGGTACCGTAACAATAAGAGTCCTGTCCAACGGGAACATCTTCAATGGTGCATACGACACTTCATTCAAACTCAGATGCTGGTAGAATATCTGCAGCTCAGACAGCAAACCATTGTTGTCAGTAGTCGTGTGACGCAGCATCTGACTGATCAGGTGGCGGGTTCGTCTCATCTTGAAGATTTTAATAACATAAATATTAATTATAATAGAGTTCAAGGAAATCGGGTAGTATATTTTTACAATGTAGGTACTAGGAGACCAAAAATAAAGGAGGTTAAAGTTTTTACTTAATAGCAATAAACAAACTGACCTCTTCATGGGTGCGATGGCAGGGCTCAACGATTAACAACAAATTGATAAAGTGCAATACAACCCAGTTCAGTTGCAAAGTTGGGCTCGACCTGTCTGATCTTGATTTGTTGACTGTAATGAGATAAGATTTTTATTGCGCACATTTTGTCATTTTAGTCCTGTAGGATTTTAATCGGCATTGAAGAACGACGAGCAGGTACAGCACTAGTCCAAATTAAAAAACGAACTCTTTATTGCATTCTTAAAAAAACAGTGAACCTATTTATTGCATAAACCTTTTTTTACCAACTTATTATTTTCTTACTTTTTGCAAAGGCTGAACTGAAAACTAAGAACTAATAGTGATAGCAAAATTTAGAAACAGAATAAAGATATTAAACTAACAGATATTAGTGATGACATGGTACGGCGTGATGACAAGATGCAGGAGAAGGCACAGCAACATGGCGACGAGAACTGTACCATAGCTATCGTTAACGTGACGCACCACGTCGCAGAGGGAACAATATAGTAAGCCTAGGCGACGTATCATTATTGGTAGAGGATGTAGTGCTGGTCTTGGTTGAGCTGTAAATAAGGAATATTACACAAATAAAGATATAGAGTTGAAATTTAAATATGTTTGCATCAGGGTGCTTACTCTTGAAACCAATCTCAATGTCAATGCAATTGCAATCCAATGAACACTCAATAATTATTCAATGTCAAAACTATACAACCCCTATTGTAGCCGTTAACATAGCAATCAGGGCACGGAATATAAAAACAAATTGAATACCATTTAGTTCATTAAATACCTAAGCAATACGGATGCAATGGGCGCTAGTGTTGAAACTTAAGAGTAGGAAATTTCACAATATCAATGTCGATCGGAATTGGAATTGGATTCGAGAATAAGCCCACAAAACTGTTGTCCTAATTTAACTCGTTGAGTACCGTCATTATAGACACAATTAAAGAACAATAGGTTGCGGTCACCGGTGACCGCTCGGTGTTTGACAGTTTAAAGATGATTATTTCATACCTCTGTACGCCGCCATAGTGTCAACGACACTGTTGATGGATTTACTGGAGATAGTGTTATAAATGTCGATTCTGCAGTCCTGGTTCAATACCGAGTTCCTTGCTTCAGGTGCTGTATAACAATAACATTAAATGTTTATTATGAGTTTATTGCCAAAGATTGAGTTCGAGATTCATCGATCAAAAGACAAAAGTTACGTCCTATTTTCAGCGGCAGTCGTACTTTAATGAAGACCAGAGCATTGCTAAAGTTTTTAATAGAAATGTGATGAAGGTTGTGGACTATAAGTGTTGACTTATTCACTTGAAGTTGCATAAACTTACAGTCGTGCACAATTTGTTCAAGAAGGTTCTTCAAGCAGTTGTTGAGTGAAAGAAGCGAGGTGCACACAGCGGTGGCGGTCTCAGAGAACGTGAGCAGTATCACTTGCTGCACTGCTGTCGATATGTTGTAGAAGATATACATGCATGATGTGAACACTGGAAGAAAAACATACATACATACATAACATCACGCCTTTTATCCCCGAAGGGGTAGGCAGAGGTGCACATTATATCTCTACAATGTAACACCCACTTTTCACTATTTATGTTATGAGTCCCATGTAATAGGGGGTGAGCCTATTGCCATATACCGGGCACGATTCCAGACTTCGTGCTACTACGGAGAATATTTTTAAAAACCCAGTAATACTTTGCCCGACCCGGGAATCGAACCCGAGACCCTTAGCCCGCCAGTCTTACTTACGACCACTCGGCCAACGAGGCAGTCTGGAAGGAAAATTAAGTAGCATTTTCAATACCTAATTGGGTATAGTACCTATGAATTGTAACATCACATCAACAGCCTATAAGTGGCCACTGCTGACCAAAGGCCTCTTCTAAAAAGGAGAAGGTTTGATCATAAATCACCACGCTTGCTCAATGCGGGATTGGTTTCAAACTTGTAATTAGAAATTGTAAGCCAAGGTTTCATTACGATGTTTTCCTTCACCGTTTATCAGTGGTATCTAAATAATATCAGAAAGTATGTCTTGGAAAAAGTCACATTGGTACTTGCTGTTGGTAGGTTTCAAACACGCACTCTCACTCGTGCCTGAAAAACATAACATAACATAACATCACGCCTTTTATCCCCGACGGGGTCGGCAGAGGTGCACATTATGCCATTGTACAATATAACACCCACTTTTCACTATTTATGGTATGAGTCCCATGTAATAGGGGGTGAGCCTATTGCCATATATCGGGCAAAATTCCAGGCTCCGTGCTATTACTGAGAATTTTTAAAAAACCCTACTTTACCCGACCCGATAATTGAACCAAAGACCCCTTGTCCGGCAGTCGCCTTTGCTACCACTCGGCCAACGAGGCAAGCGAGTCCAAAGTCCAAATAGGTAGGTGGACCGACGACATCGCCAGAGTTGCGGAGAGCCAGTGGATGCAAGTGCCGACGGAGGACCAAAGACGAGGCCTTTGTTCAGCAGTGGACGTCTTTCGGCTGTTGATGATGATGATTAACTTTTTTCTTTGTTTAATCTAAATTCCGATGAAAGAGAATTTATACAAGACAAGTTGATGCCCATCTTTATATATATAATTCTGCTGTACGTGTGAATGTTATTGAACTCCTCCTAAACAGCTTAACCGATACACCGGTGCACCGCTGCAGTCGGTGTCTTGGTTAGTTATCCTAAATGGCTGAACTAATTTGAATGAATTTTTGTTAATACATTCAAGTGGATATGCAGGACAACGTCTGTCGGGTCCGCTAGAAATGTATACATATTTAAAAAATCAGACATGACTCATACATTTCCCATGATCAATAGCGACTTGGTAGATGAATATGCTGAAGTCCAGCAATATGGTTGAGCAGGTGAAGATCATGGAACTGACTGCTATCAGTTTCCTCGCACTTTCATTTGATGGTTCATCGTGGTACAGACTCAGTTTTAAGTTTATCTGAAAATAATATAATACATACAAAAACACAATTAAGTCTCGAACTTTAAACTGAAAACATGAAACACTTTCGAATAGTCTTAGTCTTAAATCTTAGTAGAGAAAATGAAAGAGCTAAAGAGAGAGAGATAGAGTAAAAGGAAGAGCTAAAGAGAGCTAGAGAAAAGGAAGAGCGAAAGACAGAGGTAGAGAAAAGGAAGATCTAAAGAGAGATAGAGAAAAGGGGAGAGCTAAAGAGAGATAGAGAAAAAGGAAGAAAGAGAGGGCACAAAAGAAAAAGCGACAGAAAGAAAGCGATCGGACGAGACGGATAGCAAGAGAAGGAAGATAATTACAAACCTCTTGCAGCTTCAACAAATACACCATCAGGCATTTCATACGACTGAAACCAGTGAATGCGGCAGTACAGACTACCAAGCCAACAGTACCTACATCAGCTACCCAGACGATGCGGGTCGAGTTTGTACGGGTGCGGTACGACCTCTCCGGCTCAATTAGGATGTCTATAGCTATTGTAGTGGTTGATAAAAGCCCTGGTAATGTAAGAAAAGGTATAAAGAAGGCATTTAATTAATGAGTAACTTTGCATAAAGCGCATTAACAGGATTTTGCTGAAAGTATAATGTAAATTAATATTTTTGATTTAGACGATTACATACTTAGATCTAAGTAATTATGTACCCACATAGCATAAACGACAGAGACTTTCCATAGAAGTTTGCGAGTCGAGAGACGCGAATGCACCAGCCACCGTGCAAGCGTCGGAAACGGATCGGTGCGACGCCAGCCAGTTGTGACATACGCAGCATGAGACATAGCGTTCCAGTCACCACACACTCCTTCTGCCTCCCAGATTTCATGGAGCCCTGGTACCTACAAAAATCAAATCGTATATTTTAATTTATTCACCCACTCACTATAATGTACTATAGGCACCGAGCAGGTGCCTATAGTAGCGTAAAGGGGCTCGCTGCCATTGCAGCGGTAAGTCCCGCTCTTTGAGGAGTGGCTTGAAAGACGCTACAGCGTCCTAATCTACCGCCTGATGCAGGTCCTCACCGGACATGGAAGTTTCGGAAGGTACTTGTCTCAGCCATCGCGAAGGACACGAAGGGAAGGCGTCGCGTTCCGCGCGCGCCTCAAAGATGGCCATCGCGGAGTCGCGGAGAACCTAACGAGTTACCGGGGCTCCGGCTCGAAGCGTAGGAGAAGGAACGGGGTGGTTTTTAGTCAGTAAGAGTTTGACACTCCCTCCCACCTCACCCAGGCGGGAGCAGTCATTCAATGATTTCCCCCTCAAAAAAAAGAGTCATATAATTTGATGAAGTAACACTATCATTACGTTCTAAACTGAATAACCGTGCTCAATGAATTAATAATTTAATTAGGTTTAATCTCAGCTAATTAATTTCTATTTACTTACGTAGGAAATACCTTGATTTTCATAGGCATGTCTATCAAAAGTTACTTTGAAATCAAAACTAACAAGAACAATGGTTTTGAACACAAAACAACGAATTGAATTAATAGCTTTATGTAATTCTTAAGTGTTGTCACAAGTCAAGATTATTTGATTTTCTTTTATCAAGATTGATTCGAAAATTATGGATAGGAACTAAATAATTTATTTTACATTTGATTATTCGTTCCAGACATTCAATAAATAAGTTTTTTTTTATGTGATAAACCAGTAAACGAGAAGACGGATCACTTGATGGTGAGCAATCGCCGTTGCCCATGGACATCTAGAACAACAGAGGCGTTACAAGTGCGTTACCGGCCTTTTGGGGAATGTTGGGGTTTTAGGGATTAGGTTTCAGGGTTTCAGGGGTAGTTGGGCCTCCGGTAACCCACAGGGCGAAACATAACACCACTGTTGTTTCACGTCAGTGGTTTTCTGTGAGGGCGTGGTTTCACTCCGGTCGAGCCGGCTATTCGTGCCGAAGCGTGGTTCACCCAAACTTAAATTTAATGCTGTTTCTTAAAAACAATACGTATCTTGTTAGAAAATGAAAAAGGCGCTGTTTCAGAAGAAAATGTCAAATATGGTAACGTATTCCATTTCACTAAATGTTTAATATAATGTACTTTCTAAACGACTGTCTGCAAAAGATGAGGTTCTGTGCAAAACGACTTACACATTAACATAACCCTTCGTCTAGTGCAGTTGAGTAAAGACAATGGGTTTTCAAACAGCTTTCAATATAGAGGAGATATTTTGGAGGAAGTAATTAAAGCTATCCACGTTTGGTATAATCTTAGAACGTAACAATATTAATTATCGTTCATTATTGAAATAATGGCAGGTAAATATTTACATAGTTAGTCAGTTTTATAGTTAAAGCATGTTTAACTGAACACTTGAGTAACTAATCAAATAACCTTTATAAACAATATTAAATATGATCTTATCTATAGAACTTTAACTATTAATCAAAATGATGGAATGATCTAATTCGATATTTAAATATTACAATCATTTAATTTTGCCGTCGTATGGCGAAAGTTTTACGTGACAACAACTTTGAGTGGTAAAATAATTTTAATGTGAATATTCATTCGTATAGTAGGAAGAAGGATGAAATAATAGTAACAATTTAAAACATTTATTTATACAAAGAATTATATTTAAAACATTAATTTATACAAAGAAGTAAGACATGAACCGGTTTGTATGCCTATCTCTCTCACTCTCTCTCTCGCTCTTAGGCGGGCTAACTGTGCTCGAGTGGAAGGGACGCTTGCCTTTCACTTTTTATGTCTGTCTCTCTCGCTCTTAGGCGGGCTAACCATGCCCGAGTGGAAGGGACGCGTGCCTCTCACTCGCTCTCATTGTGAGCACATAACGTGAGCGGAGCGTAACGCAGTTTCTTGAAGTGTCACCCGGCAAACCAATTTATAAGACGTTGTCACGTCAATAATAATTGTTTCATGAACTACGTTTAAAGAAAACAAATTCAAATCCCTCTTTTTTTGAAATCGGAATAGTTGTATAATAATAAACGAGATGAAAGTTTAACAATACGTTTATTAGCCGGTAAAGATTACAGAGAACAGACAGAATGCACTAGCGCCACATGTGACAACAATCGGAAACTTTTTGTTATGTTCGGAAACTAAAACAAACGAACAATATTGATTTAATATTTACTATTTCAACAGGAATGAATATACTAAAACCGTCTTCTAAGTTTATTTTATTTTTATAAAATTTATTTATTTTTTATTTTATAAAAAACATTGCCCCACACTAGGATTTACTCCTGTGTCCTGGGTGCGGTTACAAACATACAAGTTCACATACACATGACACTCAGACCCGGAACAACAATCTGTGGATCTCACAAGGAGTTGTTCCGTGTGGGAATCGAACCCGCGACACGTTGCGCGGCAGTCAGTTGCCCAGCCACCGCGCCAACCGTGCAGTCAGTGTCATACACTTTTCTGAAAACTGCTTCACGAAATCGGTTCAGCCAATCGTGGAATAATCGCACACATACATACATAGGTACAACCTCCTTTTTTTGAAGTTGTTTTAAAAAGATTTTTTTTATGGCATAAGCCGGTAAACGAGCAGACGGATCACCTGATGGTAAGCAACCGGCGTCGCCCATGGACACCTGGAACACCAGAGGCGTTACAAGTGCGTTACCGGCCTTTTGGGGATTAGGATTTTGAGGATCGTTGGGGATTCAGGAATTGGGAAGATTGGGAAAGGGGAGGGTAATTGGGCATTCGGTAACCTCACTCACATGCACACACGCAACGCAAGCGTTGCTTCACGTCGGTTTTCTTTGAGGCCGTGGTATAACTCCGGTCGAGCCGGCCCGTTCGTGCCGAAACATGGCTCTCATTTGTCTCGAAATGTTTACGCTTAGCTTTCGCTATTCGAAAAGAAGAATTTAATTTTCCTTAGATAAATAGGAGCCTAAGAGTAACTCTATTGAAACACTCACGGGATCTGGGAATCTAGTTTTCGACTATTACTTATGATTTCTACGATGCCAAAATGCATTATTATATATTTCAGAAACATTACAAATGGGGGTAAATATAACATTAAAAAACACGACCACTATATTACTTTAATTACAAATTAAATTACGAATAAATACCAACCACCATTAAAAAGTAATTATTTCTGTCAGATACATATTTCATGATAAACTGGGCAACTTCATAGGTCTCATGACTGCTTGAAAAGTTCCCATAACCATTTGGGTATCCCCATCTCCTTGTATCGGTACTGGGAGAACAGAGTCATCTGAAGCTTGTCTTTTCATCTTCTCTAAATCGGAAACATTATCAAATAAGGCATTACTGATATCGTAATTTAGAAGGTCTTCGTCCCTTGTGTTCGGTGAATCTGAGTCTTGCCTGCTTGCTTTCTTCTCATTGACATTGTTATCTTGTGCCTTAACGAGTTCCTGTGTTTTATGCTCGCCTGGTAAGTCCGTTGAGTGGTTTTTGAAATCATTACCATTAGTTTTCTTTGTGACTATAAAAGAATTTTTATCATTATCACCTTTGAAGTTTTTCCACAAACCATTTTGTTTGGGAATGAACTCATTATCATTTAATTTTGTATTCAATTTGTCTTCATCATACACTTTATAATAAATATCTTCTCGTTCTAAATTAAGAATCAGTTTGAGATTGTCAGTAGTCACTATAAGATTTTGTATCAAGATGTCTTTGTAAACTTCATAGGTTTTCGTTTGATGCTGGTTTATTTTAAAAAATTTTGTCGGAAAAGTTTCTACTTTTATTATTGGAACAAAAAGGAGGAGTAAAAGTTTTAAAGCCATGTTTAACGATAGTTGAGCGAAGAATAGAGTCTGTTAAGCAAGGATGATACTGATGATGAATATTTATGAGACTAGATAAAGATCAGACAAGTGTTCGCGTAACTAGGGCTGTACGATGTTATCGATTTGTATAATTATTCGTAACATCGATAGCTATGGAAATTATCTGTGTGTATTTGACTGTATACTTTTTTGAGTTTTGTATTTCATTCCAGGGACGGGCAGTTATATTTTAAATATCATACTATCCTATTAATATTAGATATGCGAAAGTTTGTGAGGATGTATGTGTGTGTGTGTGTGTTTGGTACTCATTCACGTCAAAAGGGATCGAGATGAAATTTAGAACAAGGGTAAACTAGAGTCTGGAATAAGACATAGGATACTTTATAACGCGGGCGGAGCCGCTGGCAGAATCTAGTATAATATAAATATACAACAACTGAATCATAAAGAAAACCAAAATAACACAATTATTACGAATGATGGTTTGAAAACTGAAAGAACTTTTGAAAACACGTGTCATCAAAATCACTTCAAATTTCATTCTCATTATTCAATTTCTTAAGCTTTCATTGCAGCCTACGTATTACTATTAAAACGTTCTTCTTAAGAGCAAACCGCAATGTACTATGTATGAGTGTAAATAATCACAGCGTAACGTAGAGACCGGGCTAGCTCTCAAGTATTCGGTTTAGTTCTCGCCCCGCCCGCCCTACATCTCCACGTGTTTCTGGAACCCTAGTACCTGCCTTACACGGTTGTAACACTTTTTAATAAATTGTGTTTTGATTATTATGGTGTAACAAGAAGGAAATCAGTGATAAAGTTCATTGAACTCTATATTTTGTTATCAATGGGTATGTATTATTAATTAATATATTGAATTACTTAATGATATACAAAAATTAATATATACAATAACGGTTGGTTCTCTCTCCATCACACAATTTAAAAACTTTTTTACGTGGAAGATTCAAAATATTGTATGTTTACTGAATCGAATTACAAAGATGCGCCCCCATGTTTATATTATCACGTGTCGAAGCGCCTTAATGGATATTAAATGCATTTTGTGATACGGCCACTGATAAATTTTAACAGGCAATGTTCCATTTTGTGTTATTTACAAGTATTCGTCTTTTCATCCATTCGTTGTTTACATTGTGGTGTATTAGTGAAAAATGTAGGTTTTTTGGTTGAACCCATGTAGATGGAGAACTATGTTGATTTACTTCATTAATCGAACATTTTTCTGTATGTTTTTATGAATTTTTGGACTATTCGGATGAAAAAAAATGTGCTTTTCTTACAAAATTCCTTTTCTGTAAAAATACATAATTAC